ATCAGCGAAACTTGGCAGTATGCGGAACATACCATAACAGATGTTGCATGTTTTTAGGCGCCCCTGTTACTCCTTTGGATATTTTTGGCGATCAAAATTAGCGATGGCAAATGTTAGCATCCGGCTGCTGGTGAAACGAGCCAAAAATAATACATATCTGTACACATACATACATACAAAACTGAGATGCTGCTATGTTAGCTGTGATTCGCCTCATATGTTTATCCTAAAACCTATGTACAAATGTATTCCAAAGGCGCCACGTTGCTACGATATGCGAAAAATGTCTGCCCAACAGTTTAGGAAATACAAATTTCGTTTAAACATTTCATTTGTGTACATACATATTTAATTGCAATGCAGTGGCTAAATATAAATGTGTCTATCGCAACCCGCTAGATATCCATGCCACATATACATACATACACATATAAAGAAACTGCATATGCACTTAAATATGTTTGTATGTATATTACTTAATTGTAAGTTTATCTGTTCGTTTATTTCAATATTTAGTTAAATGTCGGCTACCGCATGACAGCTAATTTCGAAATGTAATTTATTGAATTTTTCGGCGCTGTATTTGCTTGAGTAGATAAAATAAATGATTTTGGGTAGACAGTCAGTTTCATGGTAATTTTTGCGATTATTTATAATGGCAAATTGCCACACCGCCGCAGCAACGCCTAGTTTCTTTTGTGCGATTTTTATTGAAAATCAAATAATACGGATTAGTGACGTTTTTTGGTATACATACAAACATATGTAGTATATATATTTGTGTTTAAATTTGTGTATTGTCTTTGGCTGCGTACATGCGAACGCGTGCCATTTGTTTGTGTGGCACTTATACATACAAAAAGGAAGATTTGCGTCATGCAAAAAAAAACAGGAAAACTTACGCACACAAACGCCAGAAAGAAAACAAAGCAAAACAAATAATGAACTTGTCTTGAATGCGTTGACATTTACCGGCTGCTGCGCCGTCACCTAGCTTGCCTGATGGATCGACGACAAAAGTTGCACACAAATGTGTAAACTTGTATGTATGTATGTGTAAGAATATACCCTGCAGCAAAACAAACTGGTTCAGAACTGTAACCGAACTAGATTAAAAAGGGAAGGTAAGTGTTTTTTATGTTTCCCAAAGAAATGCTTTCAACAGTCTTTTTTAACATGGCGAATTTCTGAAACATACTTTAAATTTTTATGAATAAGGCTATTATTATTTAATATATTTTTGAATGCATTTAATCCTGGAAATTTAATTTATGCTAATATAACTCGATTCTACACATCGTGCACTTTGTTAAAAGGTATATTAATTCTTTATTTAACACTTGACTGAATAAAATTTATCAAATAGGTGGTAACTAACGCTAAACAAATTTTTTCGGCAGTAAACTTCCTCAAGCCTTTTTAGTTAGATACCCGTAATACTTCATTTAAATTATCTATTTAATAATTGAGTTAAATTTTTCAAACAGGTGGCAACCCTCCAAAAAAATATGTTTGGAATTAAGCCTTCCTGCGCCTCTTTAGTTTGATACTCATAGAGAAATATTTAATTAATTAAAATTAAAAATTTCAAACAGGTGGCAACCTTCCACAAAAATAATTTTGACTGTAGGCCTTTTTAAACCTCTTTCTTTTAGCAGCCATGTTGCAGTATTTACTTTATTTGAGCTCGTAACCAACGATTTTGGAAGTCGAAGGTCTTCTCGCGAACCTACCTTCGAATTGTAAAGAAGTGTGAACTTTGTGAAATGTGAGGAACTATGATGACAGCGCAACTAGCACACTGCAAGCAAGTTTCAACTGTCCCGTTCTGCAGCCGTTTTGCAGTACTTCTGTAAATTCGTAGGGCGGAACCAGCGCTTTGCCAGACTGTCTCTAAATTTTGCTGCTAGGTGTACGAATGTATGCACCTAAATATATATGTATGTGTGCAATTGAATTGAATAATAGACATTTATCGAATGGGCGACAGTATTAAAAGGAGACGTATGTTTGGGGTGTGACTGAGAGGCTGGCGTTCATTTGAATGAGGGTTTAAAAAAAAATAGTATTGTTTGATAAAAGATACGCAAAATAAAGGCTTTGGTCAATGAATTTAAATCAACAATTATATTTAAATTAGTAGTTTATAATTGAATACCTCCAGCGGTCGAGGATTATGACCCCAACGTTGCTGTTGCTTGACGGGCACCAAAGTTGTGGGCATTGAGTTCTGAAAAGGTTTTTTTTATTATTAAATTAATTTGCGAATGTTACACAACTTTTTGTCCTACTACTTAAACTACTGCGAACGTTGGTCCTATTCGGGCGGATTCCAGGTAAATATACAAATATTTATATATATATACAAATATATACATTTGCCAATATATCATGACATCATTGGAGTATGGAACATGCAAAGCATGAGAGATGATGATGGGTCATTCTCTAATTATATGCTAAGCGAAAGTGTAGGTTTACGCAATCAGAGAAATTACCCCAGTTTTCTGATGACTGCTAGGAAGGGGATTGACCTCACTGTGCTCTCCTTTGATCTAGTGGCACGCATATTTGGTTGGATGATCTTAACCTATAATTTCTTTTTAGATCTCGGTATATCTAGCTTTGGCGGAACGAAACCCGTTCTACAGAAGCCTGCACGGCATTCTCTTAGATTCACCTGCTATAGGTGGGAATCTGTCTGAAGATTCTATGGATGAGTTATGTAGTTTGAGTGTTCCCCCCAGCGTGTAAAAGGGCGATTGAGAGCTCTAACAAGGATAAGTGCTAACTGTATTGGTGGACAGGGGAGCTTTCTAATCTCAGGGCTTTGAGCAGACGCCTTTTCAATAAGACCATGAAAAGGGGAGCAACCTCCGACTAGAGTTGTATAAGTTTGAATTTGAGATCTATAAGTTTGAGATAAGGAAAGCTAAGTGCACTTCTGCGAAAACGAGGAGGGTAGCCACGAATTCCGAATTCTCTCTAGGATTTCCACTCTTCTATGCGTATCTAAAGTATGAACGGAGAAACTGGGCGATGGGCATTGTGAAGTCATTCAATATGCTTCTTAATGCTCATAACCCGAGTAGAGCCGTAACCGCTTGAAATGAGCAGGCCATGTAGGTAGAAATTTAAAATATCTGAATGAACACCGCCTGCTTTATATGATCAGCCTACATAAGTGTGGTTCCATGGGCTGCCTCCTATGTATGCGAGCACCTCAGATAATCGCTGCTGACGGGTACTAGAGATACGAATTTCGATACGATAAGATACCATATCGATACTTTTGACATTCGATACCGATCTTTTCTACTCGATAGTTTTAAAACGATATTTTTTGGAATCGAGTACCAGAACCCTAGCATCGTATCGAATGTTATAAACACACATTACAAGGATAATGTTATTAACAATTCTTCCCGATATAAACTCGGCTTTAAAGAGCAGAAATTTTTAATATAGATTGCATGTGGTGGGATTTAAACACGCGGCTTCGGTGTTTTAAGTCAACACCTCAATCTCTACGTGATGTAATAATAAAAATAGGCCGGCGCTTACACAAGATGTTAGTGTTTGGCCGAGCTTCTCTTTCGATTTGTCGCGTGCGCCTTAATGTTGTGGCACAAGGGGTGTCCCTACAATTTTATGTTGACTCTGAACAGCGATTGTATTTTTATGGGAAGCTGTTTTTCATTTTCAAGGTTTGCGCACTTCTAACCACTACACCACAGCGACCTATGTACGAGACCTATATTTAGAACATTTTTTTGGATTTTGGTATCGCTATTTGGAATATCGAGTCTTTTTATTCCGATACTAATGGGTACCCAATACTTTTAAAGCGATACTTTAAAAGGGTACCATATTGTTACTTTTGGTCCGGTTTAATTTTGAACAAGCCGGCGACCTACCTAGTAAAGTCAATTCGCGTACGCTGAACTCAGTTAAGCCATTTAATCGAGTAATATCGGCCTGGACCGCTTCTTGAGCGAAATTTTAAGATTTTCGATGGACCTGAAAATTCGTGTTCGAGGATCGTTTGCTGCGAGGAATCCGAATTTGACATTATTTTTGCAATGCGAAAAATATTTAATACAGCTTTAATACAAAAAGCATCCAAAAATTACCGAAAACGGCCGAAAACTTTGATTTTCGCATTGAGATTACCAAAAATTTGTTGGAAATACATTTTATTATTAAGTTATTTTTTTATTGGTAAAAAAAAAGTCCTAAAAATTTCATCGCAATCAGAGAAAAAAATGTATCACTATTAAAAAAAATCCCCATTTTGAGCAGAAACTCCAAAATTTTGTATGGTTATTACACCTACATATATTTATCAAATTGAAATTACTTAAAATTTAGTTGGATAGCCATGAAGAAGCTTTTCCCCGAAAAAAATTTGCTTCCTTACTGTTTTTGCTCAAAAATCCTTTTAACAAATTGCACCAAGAAGTTTCTTCAATTGTTCAGGAAAAGTACTGGAAAGTTCAAGTCTCAATATTTATTTAGCGCAATTGAAGAATACTCTTTTTTTCAAACAAGCATATTAGAAACTTTATTAAGGCAATAAAAGCCAAGCTGTTTTCTTAAAATATTTTTCCGGAGCCTGCTTACCACTTGTTTTAATTAAATAAAAAAAAAATGTTCGCAGAAATTAAAATTTCCAAACGTAATGTTGTTTATTAAAAAGCTGCACAAGTTGTTGATTGAACCCGAAACAAAGAACGTCTATTTAAAAAAAAAAAAATACAGAAACACAAAACCAAACAACAAAACATCCGGCGATGCATAAAGCACCTGCCACATTTCTCCTCACACCAAATTTTCACCACAACATCGAAACACTTTTATACACCCAAAAGAATACCGTACTCTAATTCACTTCGTCTTTTCAATTGTTCATACGCGGTGTACACTGCCCACTATGCTCGACCAGCCCTCACGTACATACATATATAACTAGGTATGTACATATGTATGTACCAACTCACCTCAATGGTTCGCTCAAAATACTCGAACGCCAACGAAGTGGTCTTCGCCGCCGCCAAGCTGTCAACACTTTGTCCATTGATCTCGTTCAATTGTTTGCTGACACTATCCAGACTGCGATTAATATCGCCTAGATCCGTTTTGAATTGTTCCAGCTTGCCGAGTCGCTCCAGATGCGACATTCTCTCACTGTTGCTCGCCTCGAAATGAATGCGCAAATTCTCCAGCAACTTGAGAATGCGATCGGTGTCGATTTCGCGTGCACCCGGCGGTTCCAGTGCACGCACTCGATCGATCAGCAGCTCGGATTGTGTGATTAACGATCTAAATTTATCCATGCAAGCATCACGGAATTTCTCGTGCTCGATTATGGTGCGTTCAATGTCCGCCACCTCACCGCCGCCACCAAATTGTTGCTGTTGCTGTTGTTTGGCGAAAAAGTCATCGATGTTGCGTCGCAGTTCGCTGATCTCCGTCAAGAATTTCAGGATATTCTCCAGCAACGTTTTATAATCGTAGCGTATGCCTTCCAATTTGGATTTCAATGAACGCAAATTACTAATGACCTGTTCGATTTTCTGCAATGATTCGGAATTCTTCGTTTGTATGCCGAGTGTGGTGTGTATGCGATGTTGTAGCTCATCTTGTGCCTTGTCGATGTCCTGCAGGACATGCATCAGCTTCTCGTTGGTGATTGCATGCAGTTGGCGCGCATCAACGGATGATGAAGTGAAAACCGGATACAGTTGTGTATCCACTTGGGTTGTCTTCGTGGCAGTCTGCGGAGAAATGTGATGCAAAAAAAGAAAATTATGGAAAATGAGTAATGTGTGTGGGAAAAACTATGTTAAATAGTCAAACAACAACAAAATTCACAGCTTATTGAATTTATTTTAAATTTTTATATACCACTCACCTCCTCATTGTCACTCATGATTTTCTCCAGTATAATTTCAACTTCACGTTTCTCCGCAATTTGCGTTGTCCAATTGTCTAGACTGGTTGTTACATCGACTTGACGCTTACTGAAACCGTTGAGGATATCTTCGACTGCCTTCACTGAGGATTTCGTCTCGAGATACGGATCCACAATCTACATATACATACATATGAAAGTGCGAGTGCCAGTATGTGTGAGCATGGTTCGGCGGGCGTGTAACGGATGGAAGGTTGTATGCGTGTGTGGACCCAACGTCGAACGGAGAAATACATCGTTTTGTGTTGAAATGACAGAAATAGAAGAAATGTTGCTGTTAAAGATTTTCGCTTATTTTCCTTTTTTAATACTTCTATTTATACATACAAACAAGAGTATATAAACATATACACACATTAGGGTGCATCACAACAAGAAGTTTGTATTATATTTTAAGACCTCCGCCAAAATATTTCGGAAATACATTAAGGTTAGCTAGATCGATTTGAAAACACCTACAAAAATTAATCTTGGTGCAGACCAAAAAAAATAATAGGTTTAAAGAGCTTTATAAAGTGATATTTTCGTAAAATTTTTCGATTTATAAAGCAGTTGAAGTCTTCTTTATTTTTTATGAATTTAGTTGTTTAAATATAATATATTTTATATTTCCGATGAAAAAATCGTACCAGTGTTTTTTTTTTTTTTTTATAAAGAGTAATGCACCCTAATATACATATAAATGTATTATAAGTATATTTTGCTACAAATTTTGTTTTTCTTTTCCCTGTACTTTTATATGTTTATAAATACAATGTATACATATGTCTGTTAAAAGTTAGCTCTTTGTTGTTGTACTTTTAAGTGGTATAGCCATGCGTGTTCTCAAACCGCCGAAGACGCGTGCCGCTTCTAAATAAAATCTCCGAAATCAAAGCAAAAGGGAAACTGCATCTTTAGCTGCTCAGCTGGGAGTGATGGGGCTGTGGTGGCACATACATGGATTTACACTTACAAATACAACAAGCATTAATCGGCAGATGCATATGAATACTCGAATTAGCTTTCATAGGGTCATAATTTATTACAGTGATAAAAATGGTGTATTCATTATTTTTATGGACCAAGCAATTTGTTGTTTCTTTTTTTTTTATTTGTTAATTTTTTATGCAGTGCGGATGGGCAGAGTTAATTAATAGTTTAGATTTTTATTTTATGTTTATAGAAAGAAAAATTGTTGTTTGTTGCAATAAGAAATTTCTCTATTGAGGTGAATTAATACGAATGTAGAGGGACCGACAAGAGAGTGGCTGGCATATTAATATCCTATCCATTAAAATTCTCAACACAGCACCAAATACTATGATTAAAGTGAGTTAAAGATACATCATAGCTTGGCCCCTCCGTTATTAAGTAAAACCAAACAAAAAATAAAATATTTGAATAGCCGTTCTACCTAGCAGAAAGTAGTAAATATAAAATGCAACAGCAGCTGGACTAATCTGCACACCTACGCTGCAACCTGGAGCTTCCAATGGCTCTAAGAGCCAAGATAGGCACGGGTGAACCCTTTCCTGGACATTACAATGGGTCTGTGTGGCCTCCGAGTGAACTCTCTTTCACAGCTACTGGCACAGTCTGACCTAACCTTTATGCTATGCACGATTACAATTTTTATGAATAGGTTTTCGATTTAAGCAAGGAAATAGGAAGCTCGCAAAAGGATTTTCTATCTCCGGTATTATCCTATAGGGAAAAAATAAAGATTGATTTGGCAGAGTTAGGGGAGATTTTGCAGAGTAAAATTATTTCAGACCAATAAAAGCGGAACTTCCACAATATTTGGAAGTTATTAAGCTTTGATGTTTTATTGAGAGCAGTCCGGCTTGATAGTGGAATGTTAATTAGCTTTAAATTTTTGTACTGAAATTAACTGCCGGATAAAAGTCGTGTATCCATTAGAAAATCGGGTCCTAGAGTAAATACTATTTCAAAATTGTATGCTCCATAATATAAAATTATTCAATTTAGAAATTATATAGCATACTGAGAAGCTGTTAGTAGAAGAACCTTATAGTGTTTACATAGATTACAGCTTACTTGTATACCTACGCTCCAGAAACAAATCTTGTTGCCAGTTGCAAACTAGACTCAGGTTTTATTGGAATTTGAGTAAGGAATGAATCTCAAAGCGAACATATTAAGTACCGGGCCTCTGTTTTCTCTTGGCCGCCCTGGTTGACGCAACTAAATTCTTTTCACAATGCACTATATGACCTTATTTTCTGGTGTGATAATACTTATATTAAATAAGTATATCATTGAACAAGTATTTTGGAGCGCTATGCAACTCTTCAATCACTAGTCCTAATTAAAATTTATATAGTTATACTCTATAAGTCACTCATTATGCCTAAGGTCGGGTGTATGGCGCGGAGGCATGGACAATGAAAACATCCCATAAAGCGGCTTTTGGGGTTTTCGAGAGAAAGATTCTGCGAAAGATTTACGAACCTTTACGCGTTGGCGATGGGGAATACCGATTTACCGATTATCTTTTGCAGATATTTATTTATTCATGGCCTTGTTCTATAGAATTTATATACAATACATATGTATGTATGTATACACTTTATATATGTATGTATGTACATATATATGTGTTCTGCAATATTTTGAATAGAGAACCGACGAAAGAGCAGCTGTTCAATTTTATAAATGTTGTTGACTTTTCCGAAACTTGTACTAATTAAATAATACATACATTCACATACATGCATACATACAAGTAAAACTTCTGTTTTTTTTATTATGTATGTAAGTACGTATTTATGTTTATGCAAATACTTGTCAAATAGTTAATAAACTTGAATATTTTGTGAAAATCGCCAAAATAAACAATATCTTCGTGTTAGCTTTATATATTCGTTAAAGTGTGGGTGAGCGTATACATATGTACATACATTAGAGTGGTCCAATTTTTGTATGGGGTAAAAAAATTTCATCCTAGAAAACGGGGCACCTCCTTAGTTTTTTCCTTTCGCTATTTGTAACATTTATACCAACTTTCAATTTGCAACTGCAACCAACACAGGGTGCTCAATGGCCTTGAAATGAGCTACTGGATTGCTGTGAAACGTGCAAAAATATTGATGATTTTTATAAAAAGCTACCGTCGCCATGACAACTGAAGCTTGTGATATTTTTTTTAGATAATTTAAATTTGAAATGCGCGTAGGATACTTAACCAATTATTTGATTATTATATGTACACAATAATTCTAGAGTAAAATATGAGCATCATGAACATCCTCTAAATTTTTACTTAGAAACGTATAGTTTGGTACCAGCATCTCTTTCGGCAAGAGGAAAAATTTTAGAAGGTGCCCCCAACCGTATCTTTGAAATATTTTTTTTTGACCAATCTAATGTACATTATTAGGGCGGGTTAATTTGTCTGGAACGATTTTTTGCAACATCCTTACCAACAGATTCGGTTTCTACATAAAATTATAAGTTTTAAAAGAAGCTATCTTTAATTAATAGGAAGTTTAAATGAAGACCAATATTTACTTAAATATTACGATTGCTATTTTTTAATACAAACTTGTACTTTGTGATTTTTTGATAGGAAGAATTCGTTATTGATAGCTATTTAATTTATTAAGTGTACAGTAGGGATAACTCGGTTTGTACATTTTGACAGTTACAGGGTGGAGTTGTTTGAATTTTTTTTACTGAGTTAAACTCATTATCGATATCAATTTCTAGACAACAGCACTCTGTGACCGCCAAACTATACAAATCTGTACAAATGTACAAATCGTGTGATGCCTGCTTAAACAATAAAAAAAATTTGTTGTAAATACATAGGATACACTGATGGAAATATTTCGTTTAAATTAATCATTATATTGTACTCGACTTTTAAAACAGTTGGCAACCCTTTCCAAAAATGTTTTCGAATCAAATATTTCTTACACCTCTCCCGTTCGACACTCATAGTGCCCGCGAAAATAATATAAATTTGACTTTGAAAATGGATGGCAACCCTAATGAAAAATACTTCAGAACTATTTTTTTAACAAACAACATTAAAATAAGTTGCATAATTTGTGTATAATTTATGTTTTTAAATTCGATTTTTCAAACAGGTGGCAGTCCTCTTCAAAATACTATTTTCAAACTAGCACCTTCTTAAACTTTTTTCGTCTGGCACTATTATTGTGGAACATATTTCAATTGCCTAATTTCCTTAACCCAAGTTGAATTTGACTTTTTAAACAGGTGGCAACCCTTCTACATGTAGTCTGGAGAAAAAGCTATTTTAAATGCGATACGATTGATAGCTATTTATTTTTATTCATTTAAATTATTACATTGGGGCCGCTGTAGCTGAGTGGTTCGAGGTGCGTACTAAAACTCCATAGGACGTTGGTTCTACCCTGGCCCGAGCAAGATGTATAATAAATTATAATTATGCAAAGTTTTTTATAACAGCGATCGCCCCTCGGCAGTCAGTGGCAAAGCTCAGAGTGTATTTCTGCCTTTAATATTCAATACTTTAGGAGTTAAAGAGACGGTCGCTTTGTATTTTTTACAATTTGGAATTCAGAATATTAATCTCCCTTAAACTGTGGGCCACTAATTTGCGTATTACATATTGGCTGAATTTCTTTATTCATTCTGAACGTTTGGAATAAACTTTTTTGTTTACTTATTCTTTAGAACGTTCCTGATGATATGTTAACGTATATTTCAAAAGCATTCTGTTTATTCCGGCTGTGAAATGGGATTATCCGGAATGTATAAAGAAACGCAGCCATTATAAATTTTTGGCTAAAAAATATTGAGCCTCTTATTGTGGAACAACAGTTTTGATTGAATTCTCATTTTGACGTTTATCGATAGATTAATTTTTTTCATTGATTGAATTAGTTAGCAAAACAATCACCCACAAATCGGAGAATAATTGGCTAATAGACCGCATTTATCGAACGAATCCAAAACGGGCGGGGAGTCATAACACCGAAACAGGGTGGGGTGATTCTCACTGTTACCCCATAACGTAGCTGCCGATAATCTGCTCCGAAAACGTTGAGAACATTGGCGATAAAATATCGGTCTGAGTTTACCAAGAAAACATAAATACCACAATTCGGGTTTCCCTCCCTTAA